GGCCATTCCTATGGACACTCTAGGCTCCATTGACAGCCACAGACACATCTTCCAGAGAATACAACATGACTTCATTGGAAAGCCTACTCCCCAGTCCCAACTGCAGCCGTAATCAAAAACTGTCCAAGCGTACAGCCATGGCCGCTGCACAAGGCACATGGGCAAATCATGCTACAGGGCTCTCTGTGACAAGGTGTCTACTGGGGACACACCTGGTTCTTGCTGCTCCTTGTTTGTCTCCGTTCATACCTCAGCTTGTCTGAAGCCTAAGCTATGAGGTAAGGAAGAATTTCCTCATCCATCTCCAGCTCGCCCTATGGAACTGTCCACTTGACTGATCCACTCGGGGACCCAATAAGAGACTTCAATGTGACTCGTCCAACCCAAATCTCCTGGTCCTCCCCATTATCTGCTCCGCCAACAACCTTCTTCACTTGAGGCCCTAGCTAGTCGCCTTCTAGTTGCTTAAGCCCGAATCGTAGATGCGGCAAGCAGTCTGGTGTGGAGGTGGACAGACAGAGCCGTCTAAAGTCACTGGAGTCTGGCCTTGCTGGGTTGAGTCTGGCCATAAGCCACTGACTTTCGAGGAACTGAGATAACGTCCCCACTGCAGGCGAAGTCACTTTCCACAAGACAGTCTATTAAACCCTATGAGTATGCCTGTCCTCCCCCAACTCAAAACACTAAGGCGCCCAGGTATGAGAGGCCCTCCCTATCTGCCTGCATCTTTCATGTTTTCAACATCTGACGGTTACCAGGCGTCCTGCCAGCAGGCATTGACCTTCCCACTGCCACTGGCTGATCGACTAGAGCCAGCCCCAGGTACCTCTCCTGTCTTGAGTGAGTCACCCCAACCACTTCGAGAGGAAGTGCAGGTTAAGGGTTTTGCTGGATGTGACCAACTATTCATTCTCCCCTCCAGCCTCTCCAGCCCAGAGCTGCCTGCTGCTCATAGTATGTGTCTTATACATGGCAAATGTCCGATCACTTCAGGGTACCAAAGTTCTACCTTCTCTGTCAGGCCTATCTTTTTCTTCCTCTGGATTCTACTACATTCTCTGCTCTGTTAAACAGTCAACCCAGGTCCCTTCTTAGTAGCATCTGTAGCTGGCTTTGTCTTCTAAGGCAGGCAAAGCAGTTCCGTGCCACTTTGGTCCAAAGGCTATCTGACCAACATCCACCACAGTCCTCATTGGCCTGTGTGTGCTCAGCAGGTAGCATCCTGGCTTGGCCAGCTGGAAAGTCCAGTCTCCAGTAGTCTGGCTGAGTGCCTCTGAGTCCCTGCCACCACCACTGTGCTCACTAAGCACTTCTCTCCCACAGAGGCTCCTCACAGTCCATAAAACAGTATGGCCGAGGAGACAAGGGTTAATGACTGCCCGGACCTGTAAGTAAACGACAAGGCGGACTTAGCCAAGTGGAGACTGTGAGAGAGCATCTCAGGGTGCCCCTGCCAACCATCGCTACCTTTACAGTAACCCCAACAACAGCCCAAACTGTCACCTGCAAGGGAGCACAAATATCACCTGGCCCGCACTGACACCAGGCTTGGAACAGAGTAGGTATTCACAACTCAGCTACTGCAGTGGTTTGAGTGAGATGTCCCCCACAGACTCGGGCATTTGAGTACTCGGTTCCGGTTGGCACCACTGTTTGAGCAGGTTAGGAGGTGTGGTCTTGCTGGAGGAAGGATGTCACTGGGGGAGGGTGGGTGCTTTGAGGTGTCAAAGCCACGTGCCATTGTGAGTGGTCTCTCTGCTCTGTACTTACAGCTTAACACACGAGCTCTCGGTCTCTTTGTTGTCCGTGTGTGAAGTCTGCATGCGCACGCTCACTCCCAAGACCTATCACCGGGTCCCTAGAACCGACCGGCGTATAAACCCAGGCATAGCATGCCATACACCTGTAACCCCAGCTTTGAGAAGGCAAAGACAGGTAAGGTTTTGGAGCTCTCTGGCAGCCATAGCCAGATCTGTGAGCTGCAGATTCAGTGAGAGACAGAAAGCAAGGTCCCGGAGGAAGACACCTCCGGAAAGAGACTTGTGGCATTCCACAGTATGACAGGTTTACTGCTCACTCAAACTATATCCAGGTCCCCCACTTCAGTGGAAAAAGGATTTTAAATCTACCGTCCCATTTCACATCCCAGTTAAGAGTCAATTTTTTCACAATTGGCATAAGAACAATCTCTTCTTTGGTTCAGGGTACTGGCTTTGAGCCCAGAAGCCTGGGTCCCCACTTTCTACAAATGCAAGTGACATTTTCTCTTCCCTCCACAGGACAGGGATATGCTGAGTCCTTAGAAGGCTGCTGTTACAGGTTGTGATTCTATCTACAGAACAGATAGAGAATGCAGTGAGAAAGCAGCTGAAGCCCGGTCAGATCATGTCAGTTATCACTTGCACAGTCTTTGCTTGGAAGGGGGACATTCTTTTATTATAATTTATAGTTCTCCCCCTTATGCTGTAGCCAGTCTGTACAACTCGCTGGCCTTAAACTCAGAGAGACCCACCTGCCTCTGCATGTTCCACCACACCCAATAATTTGTTTCATTTTTCAAGCAGGGTTTTAATTTGTTGCTCAGGCTAGACTCACTGGGTTCACTAGATCCTCTTGCCTTAGCCATCCCAGATAAGACCAGAATTCCAGGCATGCTCCACCATGCCCAGCTTTTCTCCTCATTTTTGAGAAAAACAAAACAGAAAAGAACAAAATTTAGATTTTAGCACCATATCTCTGAAGATCCACGGTGCAAAAAGCCGCTGCTCCACTGGCCCCAACCCCTGAAAGGGAAAAGCTGGCATTTTCTGTGTATGTGCTTGACACCAGACTAGCTACCCCGGGGAGCTAGCCTGGGGCACAGGTATTATCAGGCCATTTAGTATAAGGGGGGGATGGGGAGGGTTTCAGGTCAACAGGAGGTATGGGTAGGATCTGAACCTACAATGTATACCCATCATGTGAAAGGCCAGGTTTGGGAAGGGGGCCCACCATCCCCTTCATGCTCACTACAGTCACCTTTAGATGACCGACATTTGACAGGAAACCTCTGGAGGGCAGGTGGAGGCAGGACCTGAAGGTTGGAATTTCAACCAGCTAAGCTGAATAAACTCCAAACCATTGGGCAGTCTTCGAATAAAGCACTGCATGGCCATTCAAGGCCTAACAACCGTGCCATGTTAACAGAGGAAGACCTAGGCTCAGTGAGGAAGCCAGAGATCAAGTGTGTTCTTCCTGAGCCATAAGCCCAGTGGCTCATACCCAGATGCATGCTGGTTAGGTCATCAAACACCCTCCCAAGCCAAACAAGAGGAGGAAGCAGGTCAGACATGGGTCAGGCCACCTTCATGTGACCAGTGTGCCAGGTTGTACCGTCCCAGAATCCAGAGTGAATTGGAGTTGAATCCTGAAGGGATAAAACCTTATCACCTAGTACCCTTGTCTGAGCACACAGCGGTCAAATGTGTGGGCTCCAGAGTCTGGCCATGGAAACTATCACCTCAGTGAGATTTGAGTTATCCAGACACTCACTGACCTCTTTGAAGCTTGGAGCAGTAGAGAAACCCCTTTATAGGAGGTTATCAGCCCAGAAGACTATAGGTGTAAAGGAACACAGTAGGGGCCACAGACACATCTCAGTAGTTAGGTGCATTCATTACTCTTCCAGAGGACCCCAGTTCAATTCCCAGCACCCACTCACGAAGTTCACAACCACCTGTAACTCTAGCTCTGGGGAACCCACACCCTCTTATAGCCCTTCTGGGGCACCAGCACATACACATGGCATATTCTTACACATAAAATAAAAAGGAGATACAACAATCTCTACCACACAGTTAACATTTAAGAAGTTTTCTTTAATTTTGACATCATTTTGATTCACAAGAAAATTACCCTAAGAGATACACACTACTCTTACCTAACTCTTGCCTAACAGAGCCCAAGGCCTGCTTCCCCAGACAGCAAATACCCAGAGCTGCCACACTGTAGGTGACAAATCCTTATGAAGCTGTAGTCTGCTGTCTCTCCCAGTAACCTTTCCCTATTAATGGCTTTCTCTGGTCTAGTTATTTATCCTGTAACTCAGACTCCTGGGTTGCCAGATCTGGTCTAGGCCTAACTCCCTTATATCCTCTCTGAGGATGGGACTTTAGACTGGCAGGCAGATCTAGGCCTGTGAGTACACCCTGAAGAAGCATGCTGCTGCTATTTTGCTACAGAACCCTAACTCCATTCCCGAGAAGTGAGGACCACCTGTAAGCTGTGCCGTGCGGCCTAACTCACCTCCAGCCGGCTTCTAATCCACCTGAGTCGGGTATTCCATCACCGGCTGAAGTAGCTACAGGCAAACTTCTAACCATGTACGAGGACAAGAGACTTTCCACCGTGGACTCTTGCATTGAGAAAACGCTTTCCAAGTTACCCTGCTGCCTTCAGAACGCCCGAATGAGCCTTGGAATTGCACCCGGTTGCCCGAGGCCACCTATCAACCTCTAAGCTGGCCACCTCAACTCCAGGCACTCCCTCACCGCTACCTCTGTGCACACCCCGGCGACAGCTGCTGCGTCAACAGCAGCTTTAGAGATGGCGTCCCTGGGGTTTGAGTTTGCCTCGTTAATACCTCGGCACTTTACAGAAACCATTCGTGTCCCAAGTCAGCAGATTGTAAAACTCGTATAAAACTCAGCACCCGAGAGATCTAACAAGGCTGTGCCAGCTCCAGCGTGCCCACGTCACCAAACGCCACCAAGAAGCGCGTCGGGGGCAGCTGGGGACTCCGATCGCAGCTGGTGGGGGGAGATGGTCCAGCTCCAGCTAGCGGATGCGAGAGCCCGGGCCCCCCACCGCCTCCGGACGCGGGGCAGCCAGGGACCAGCCCTCTCCGTGGGTCCCCGCAGAAACCCTCGCGCGCCCGGAGCTCCGCGGCGCGCATGAGCAGGGGACCCCCCCCCAACTTCGGGCCCCGGGAAGCCATGCCCAAGCCACGCCCCGCCACTTACGGTTCCATCTCGTAGCCCCGGGTCCCCGGCCCCCGCCGGTGCGTCCCGAGCTCTCCCGGAGCCCCGCAGCCGTCTCCAGAGCCACCAGCGAGGCAGAGCAGCCGGCCACGGAAAACGCATCAGAGCGCGACTGCGCGGTCACGTGCGCGGAAGCGGCGGACCGGCGGGGCGGGGCAGCCTCCCGCAGCGCTCGCGCCGGACACCTGTCACGTGGGTAGGCGTCCCGGCTAACCCAGATGCGACACCACCGACCACCGAAGGTCACGGACCCCATAGGCCTTCCGTCCAAGTCCCCAGACACTTACCATGGCTGCTTCCTCTTTTCTTCCCCTCCGAAGGTGAGGGAAATAGGCAAGGCATTGTTAGCATATCTCGAAAAGTTTACTACTGTGTTAAGGCGTTAGCATGTGCCATGCCGTTGGCACATGTCTCTGGCAACCATTAAAACTAATGCCTGCGGGTTTCTGATACGTGCAACCCAGAAGCAGAGGGAGCATGCCCAGTACAGGCTCTCACCCCTGCTCCCCCCGACCCCCTGCAGGGCTCAGTACTAGAGAGGGCCCTTCACCTTTGCGGCCTTCGGTGGTGCAGGAGTTGTACGCATCAATCCCAGTCTACCGCAGTGAAACGGACTTATTCCCAATATTCTACCACCTTCCCTTACACTGTTTATGGGCCTCCTCTTTCCAAGATTTGACAGCTAGCATGGAATACAGTGTGCACATGAGAATTAACCAAACGATTCAGGGGGGCTTACTGATTGACTACCAGTAACCAGCCTGCATACTTTCTAAAACTTGGGAGAATTGAGGAGGCCTTTGTATGGAATCAGAGACAAGAAGGCAGGGACCAGTGAGAGGTCACACCTTCTGACCAGGGTGACCGGTGGCTCTGCTTGGCCTAAGACTTTCCATAGAATAAGCACTGAAAATCCCACATCCTGGAGACACCCCCTCAGGCCCCACCCCCCAGACAGGCAAGGCAGGGCATCAGATCACATTCTGACCCCCCCCGGTTTTTATTATTGTCGGTTGCTTCTGTGAGTTAACCAGGCAAACCTGCCTTAACATTTAAAAACATATCTTTATTTATCTTGGTTCCCTTAAGGACAGAAGCAGAGATGGCAGTCTCATGTTAATTTCATCAAGAATAGGGAAGCTGGAGAGAGGACACAGGCAGAGAGGCAGAAGATTACACTGGGAGGTGCTGAGGCAGCTGGAAGCCACTTCACATAGCCAATTGAGTGGGCTACAGGCTAGTGCCAGAGAAACTGCCAGAAACAGAGTCCAGAAGCAGTCTCTCGGCTCCATCCTGTTGCCCATGGGTTAAAGTCTAGCCTGCATGCCCGATGAGTACTCTTCACAGGCAAACAACCAGGGACCAGTGCCTGCAGGTACTGGGCAGCCCATGAGTGACAAATGAGCTCCCCACCAGTCAGCACTAAGGGCAAGAGTCTATGGTGGCAGAGGCTGGAACCATGTGAGTTTTCACCAGGGTAAGGGAAGCAGAGTGAGGTAAGGACCAAGGTGGAAAGTTGAAAGGGGACAGCACGAGTCTGGGCGGGGTCAGATGGGGGAACTGATGATCAACAGGAGGCTGCACTAAGAAGCGGAGGTTGTTATGGAGATTTTAAATGAGACATCTGGGAATGACTAGTAGTCCTTTGGGGCTTTCTTGAGGCTCCAGCAGAAGGTGGTGACCTTGTCTCCATGGTAACCTCAGTGAGTGTCCTACAGAACAGGCAACCTGAGCATGTGAAGGGACAGGATTGGGGGTGAAGAAACAGGAGCCAAAGAACAAATTATCGCAGGACAGTGGGTCACGAAACGTTCTGAAGTGCGATCGCCTGGGGAGCTTTAAGAACCCTCAATCCAGTTACAGCAGGTCTGAGGTGCAGCTTAGGGATGTGTGCTGCCTAAGCCTCCCTCCAGGATGCATGTTTGCTAATCCAGTGCAGCTCTTCCTGGGACCAGCTGCATCGCTGAGCTCCGGTTCTGTGGATACTCTCTATACCCTGATAAGAAATACTCTTTTTTGTCTCAAGTTAATACTCGACAGCAACAATCTTCGATGCAGCAGTGCCGAGAGTGGCGGTGAGTGACACTAGCCATCCCTTAATGCTGGGGATGCTGGCAAAGCTAACAACTCACTGCAGTGGGAAGGGGCCAGTGTTCTGCTCTGCAGTTCCCTGCAGGAGGAAGCAGAAGCTGGCTTCCCAAAGGAACTTCCAGTCTATACCGTGGCCATGAGACCTAACCCTAACCCTGACCCTGACCCTGACCCTAACTGGACCTGTCCTTTCCAGAACCTCAGAAAATCCTCCTCCGACCCCCAAACATGGAGCTTCACCCTAGCATCATCACTGGAGTCACAGATCAAGGGACAAATTGGGGACCACACAGTTAGCTTCACTTAGAGGCTAAAACCCTACCTCGGCATCCTGCTGCGGTTTGGGTAGGGAAGCCCAGTGGTCATTGTTTGATGTGCCAACTAGGAGGCAATGGCTAAAGGGGCTCTTTGCTGTCCACATGGGTACACAGTGACCAGCCAGCCTGGCAGAGACATTGATCTGCATGCCAGTGAAAGATCCTGGAGAGAGAGAGAGGTAATGGGGAAGAGAGAACTAGAGACCTGGCTCAGTGGGTAAGGGTGCCCACTACGCACATCTGAATGCTTGGCTTTGAATCTCAGCACCCATGTGAAAAGCCAGGCAAGGAATAACATAAAGTTTGGCCGGTAGGGAGTAGGAGGGGTCTAGGAGGAGTTGGGGAGAGGGAAAACATGGTTAAAATCTATTGTATAAAAAATGTATTTATTTACTTTATTTATGTAGCCTTGGCCATCCTGGGATTCATTCTGTAGACCAGGTTGTGTAGACCTTACACTCAAAAATCTGCCTGCCTCTGCCTCCTGAGAGCTCAGATTAAAGGTGTGCATCAGCACCACCCAGCTTAAAAAAAAATTAAATTAAGAAGTCAGTTAAACAAAGAAAGCTAGGCATGGCTGTGCAGGCCCCTGCAACCCCTGCACTGTAGGGTGCAGAGATAGAGGCTTGCCAGGGCTTCCTGGCCACCAGTCTAGTGAGAGAGACCCTGTGTCAAGGGAGTAGATGGAGAATGACAGAAAGAGAAGTCCTCCTCTGGCTTCTGTCTGCATACATGGGTGTGCCCAAGTGAATGAGTGTGTGAACACACACACTCACCGCCATCTCCCCTCACACTTCCGAAATTAAAAACACCCAGCCTGTGGGAGGCAGAGGCAAGCAGATCTCTGAGTTTGAAGCCAACTTGGTCTACATGGTGAGTTCCAAGCCAGCAAGGGCAACATAGTAAGACCCAATCAATCAACCAACCAACCAACCAATCAATAAGTAACAATTAAAAAGAAAGAGAGAAACCAAGGTGATGTCTCATGCCTATAATACTAGGACTGGGGAAGTGGAGGCAGAACAATCATGAGTTCAAGTCCAGCAGAGACTGCAGAGTCACAGGCCAGGAATAAATCAATAAATACGGTGCTCAACCTAAGGCTCTCATGGAAATAACTAAAGCTGTATTGAACCACCAAGAAAGAGGTCTGGTGAGCAGCTCCTGCTGCTGCGACTGTACTCAGCACAGGCCCTGGAAACAAGCCGAAAGCATTCTGGATGTGCCTGCAGCATGGCACCGGGCATCATGGATACAGCATGCGGTAAACGGAAGGATACAATGTGAGATGGTGAGTGTTGTGGGTCCCGAAAGGCTCAAGTCATCTCAATGCCACAATGAAAGAAAGGGGAACGCAGTTCTGGAATGACTCAGGGCAGGTCCAGAGGTCTAGGTCAGAGTTACAGGATGCTAAGGATCCTGCCCCATAGCCTCTCCTTTTGACCTGGAAGCTTCCAGATAGGAGATAAGAGTCATTAATGTCTGGTTCCATTACTGTAACTCTCCCTGATTCACACACCCACCCTGCATAAAGTCCCTCTATAACATACACAGCTCACGCACACGGGAGCATCCCCAGGTCCTCTTACAGGGTGTTTTATGGTGCCATTTGCTTGAAACAAGTGATATTTACTTTAATGCACACAGTAAAAGAAAAAAAAAAAGAGAGAGAGAGAGAGAGACCATGCCAGAGAGAGTCCGTGAAATCATACAGTGGGCAAAGAGGTAGAAGAACCAGGGCACAGGGAGTTACTGGGACCAAGGGACAAGAGTTCTAAGCACGTCCCATCTCAGGGTCAAATCTTTCCAAACACAGGCTAATGCCTGGAAGGACCCAGAAGACTTGCACTTAGATGCTCACTGGGGACCTGGCCAGGGCAGGACATGTGCACGAAGAGGTAGGGGTAGTGGGCTGCCCAGCCAGCACCTCTGGGTTGACGATGGGGTTGAGGAAGAGTTTTCTCTTTGGTAGAAGCCCCTCAAGAGACCCTGCAAGAAGCTGGGGAGGGTGAAGAGAGTGGGTGTCATCATTTAGCAGCAAAGAGAGGAGTCTCTGTGTTAGAGGACAGCAGCTATGTGATCTCTGAAAGTCACAATTTATGTAGCAGATGTTGGGATGGAGTTTTGGGCTCTAAATGGCTAAAAAAATACATCAATTTATATTTAAAGTAATTAAAAGTGAAGAATTTGGGTTTGAGACTTCAAGCTTTAAGGTAACATCCTAACCTGATACAGAGGAAAGACTGTGAGAGGATCCTATTCAGTTATATGACTCAGGCTGGGAGAAATCCAGACATGTTGGAAAAGACAGTGTGCCCGTTCCTAAAGAAGGTAGGGACAGGAGTCCCTATTGAGGGAAAATTGAGACATATGAACATATAGAAATCATTGATGAACCAAGACCCCTGTGGGTACGGGCTGGGCTAGCTGTGGATGTATCATATGCCTTGACCTGGTATCTGCCACTGACCCCCCCCCCGTACATGTGCCTGCTCAGGTCCTTTGGCCCTTGGCTCATCTAGGCCCGACACCTTGTTGAACAGCAAGATGGCAGGAGCTGCCTCCATCACTGAGCCACATGTGGATATAACTCATGCATTTCAAGTCATCCAATAAGCTGATGAAATTAACCTTCTCATTTTGAAATAACAGAGACAGGTAGATTCTAAAAACCACAGTCTCAGGTAGT